AGGATTACCTGCCATTTTCGGTTGCTTGTTTTCTGAGCTCTGCAGTGATATTTTTTGGCGAGCTAAAAGAATTTTTTGATAAAATATTTTAATTGGTAATTTAGATATTGTTTGCTTGTAATTAAACACGTGATTACAAATTATTGTAAAGTATTTATTTTTGAGACAAACTTTTTGTAATCTATTTATTTTTCATATATTGCCTTTTGAGAACAGATAAATTTAGCTGAAATTTCCTTTGTTGAACAAAGGAAAATGAAAAATGTTTCAGAATAGCAAACCGTGTTAGTTTCAGTCAAACATTAAATATTTTATACCATTTTTTGTGTCAAACATTAAATATTTTAATATATGCTACAGTTTTTATTCATTTTTTTAATATTTCTGATGACAAAATAAGTTTTTTATTTTCTATTGTAGTACATAACTTTTTGTTATAACAATGGAATATGAAAAGATAGCAGTATTTGAATGTATGTACTGCTGCAAAAAGTACAAAAAGAAAAAGGTTTTATATGAACACATTCGGGAAGTACATAAAGTACCTGTTGTGGCTGAAGGAAATTTGAAATGTCCTATTAATGCCTGCAATTTTTCATGTAGAACGTTTGAAGAGTTAAGAAATCACGCAAGAGATCAACATGGATACACTCTTAACTCCGTTGAAATGACATTTAATACATATGAAGGTAAGATATTAGAAATTTGCATTTTCTGCGATAAACGTTTTTAATTTGAATTACCCCAAACTGAGTACAAATTACTATTTTTGCAAATTCATTCATCAAGTTGGGGAATAAAATACATCTATTTTTGTGAGTATAATTGATAACAGAATAATTTCCTTAGCATCTTGCTTTTTTCTGTTAGCCTGATAAACCCCCATTATTCTTCAGTAAAAATATTTCAAATAATAATTATTATTAATAATATTAAGATTAAGTAATATTTCTCTTCCTCAACTATTTGAAATATGAAGTAAACATTTTCTAAATAATAAAAAACATATATATAGAGATGTACTGCTACATAATTATTTATACATGTAATTCAGTGCTTCATTAAAAAAAAAAGACTATCCTGTTATTACACAAACGGATCTCTTAATGCATATGTATGATGAAGATATCAAAAATAATGTGGACCTAATAAAAAAATTGTTAAAATCTTTATTAAAGTGGCAACCTTCAATCGTAAGTTTAGTATCATAATGATAGACACTTATTTTATTATATGTAAATGAGGCTTAAAATTTATTATATGTTATTTTTTTAAAACTACTTAAAGAAATTTATTCAATGTCTTAAAATTTTAATAACCTATACACATTGTATCAGTTATCAAGAAACAGGCTACAATGTTTTTTTACTTTAGACATAGGCCAGATGACACTCATGCTATGGAAAATGTCTGATGACAATTTGTCTCTTAAGAATAAATTTCTTGCATTATTATACAACTTTGGGGAATATGTTTTAAGTCTAGTTTAGCTGGAACATGAGTACTAGTAACTGTCAAATAGGAAGAAAAATATGCCAATGTACAACTTAAAATAGAGTCGTAGCTAGGGTTTTCAGCGCCCAGGGACAACTGAAGGTTTCGCACCCTCTACTGCTTGCCATGGATGGAAAACATTTAATTCTAAAATGTCGTAACATCAGTTTGGTGCCCCTTCGAATCTGCGCCCGGGGACAGATGCCCTCCTCTAGCTACGCCCCTGACTTAAAATTAGGCAACTTTATTTCAGTGTAGATTTTAAATAAAACTATCAGTTTTGAGAGCAATTAGACACAGGTCCCTCTTCTTGAGAGAAAAAAAAATTCTGCTAAAGTGACCAGTATCTATTTACAATCAGTGCCAAAATAAGATTTTGGTTAGTTTTAAATTAGTAATTTTGTTTTAAAGATTAACTAGTTCACAATTATAATGGGCTTTTATTATTGTATGTAGGCTAATGTTTACCCTTCAAATTTAGATTTCTTACAATGGAAAATTGAGGAAGAACGAAGGGAAAAAATTTCTTACTTTTTGAGAAGTACAATAACTCTTAAAGAAGGTGGGAAAAAGAGTTACTTCCTTTGTAATTGATCTGGATTTTATAATTCTAAAAGTAAAGGTGTAAGAGCTATAAAATCACAAGGTACCTGCAAAATAGAGGGGCACTGTCCATCTACTATTGAAGTTACCAGTAATGGCATTATTAAGATTTTATATTTCCAAACACACGTGGGACACACAGTAGATCTAGAACATTTGCCGTTAACAAAAGATTTGCGAGAAGTGATTGCAGGTAAGTTTCTTTATGAACTTGATTGTGAAATTCAATATAAAACAGACATTATTATACAACATTATCATATAAATGCAATATTTTCAGGTAAGTTAAAAGAAGGCATTCCACCACAGAAAATATTAGATTCCACAAGGAATAGTATTAAAGAAGACATTTACAGGGAGCATTTATTGACAAAAAAAGACATACATAACATTTCTAATTCTTACTGTATTGGTAATGATGAACAATATCATCCAACTGATGCTGTCAGTTTAAGGATCTGGATAGAAAAAAATGAAATGTTTAGATGATAATTCAGTTCTTTTTGTAAAATTCCAAGGAGAAGCAGCAGATCAGCACTTGGAAATTAGTGACTTCTGCATCATCATAATGACAAATGTTCAAAAGCATATGCTTTTAAAGTTTGGATCCGATAGCATATGCATCGATAGCACACATGGGACTAATGCTTACGATTTTCAATTATCGACAGTTTTAGTCATAGACGAGTTTAATTCAGGATTTCCTGCTGCTTTTTGCCTAAGCAATAGAGTAAATTTAGGTTCAATGCAAAAATTTTTTCAGTGTATTAGGGACAAAGTTGGACTGCTGTCTGTAAACTGCTTTATGAGTGATGATGCACCAGTATATTATACTGCATGGACATCAGTAATGTGTGATGCCAAATTTAGGATTCTATGCACCTGGCACGTTAAAAAGGCATGGCTGCAAGCAGCAAATTCAATTATCCCCTCAAAGCGAAAGGAAGTTTTGAAATTTTTAAATGTAGTATCTGAATGTCATGATATAAAAGAATTTGAAGCACTGATATCTGATTTCCTCAGCAAACTCTTTGCTGATAGAGATACAGACAAGTTTGCTAATTATTTTGCTTCAAATTATGCAAACAGATGCGAGTTGTGGGCTAAATGTTATAGAAAAAGATGTAACATCACAACTAACAATCATCTTGAAGCACTGCATCGAGTTTTAAATTATTCTTATCTTGATGGATTGAAAAACAAGAGGGTTGATAGGTGCATTGCGAAGCTTATTAATATGGTGCAAGATAAACGGTTCCAGAGATTTATCAAAACAACAAAAGGGCCAAACACATCAAAGATCAACCAAACAAATTTACGACACAACAGAGCAATAAATTTTCCAGCTAATAATATCACAGAAATCAATGAGTTTTCTTGGCATGTGATTTCAGAAAGTGACCCTACTCTTGAATATACTGTTACTCAAATACATACACAATGCATTAATTGTAACATTGTTTGTAAATGGTGCAAAATTTGTAACGATGCATTTGTATGCACATGCACAGATGCCACGATTAAAGGAAGTGTCTGTAAACATATACATGCAATAATTTTAAAGACAAGATTACTTAATAGAGAACAGTCAGCTAAAACTAAAGAATCAAATGATGTAAAACTCTTTCTTGATCTATCAGCACAAAAATTAAAAAAATCAGGAACCAAGCACCATATTATAAATCAACTGAGTATCATATCAAAACTTGTAACATCAACAACAGTAAATAATATAACTTTGGGAGATATTGAAAACACACTGAATAAAGTGATTACAAAATTAAAGAACGAAAAGCCGAAATTGAAAATGGTGAACTATGAACCTACAAATAAAAAAGCAGAGAAACAAAAGAATTTCTTTTTTACGAGAAAGAAAGAAAAGAAAAAGTCCATGCAGTACTGAAAATATTGCAACAACTTCATACAAGAAAGCTGCTATAGATGCCATTGGAAATAATGAAACTCTTATAATTCATGATTCTTTTGATCATATATATTGATATCTCATCATGTAAATATATTGTATATAAAATAATCTCTAAATAGTTTATAAATTAAAATATGATGAATTAAAAACAGTATATAAATTTAAAATGCTCTTAATCTTGTCACTACTTCATCCTTGCTAGTTACACAAGTAATTTATTAATCAGTTTTTGATCTCATATTCTGTCGCAGTATTTCACTACTAAATTATTAGTGTAAAGTTCTCCAGTTGATGGTACACATACAGTACAGTTAGCAACATCATTTTACAAAACATCGACATATAATGTGTTTATTAGGACGTATCACAACAATATGTGCAAAAGAACTAAAAGTTTCAGCATGAAATATGCAGTTACAGATTCAGTCAAATATAGATAGTAACATCATATACAGATAGAGAACATAATAGGAATAACAATCGCACTTGATTATTACAAAGGAAAATCATAATTCAGTATCTGCTGACAAATCAGAGCATGCTGGTATTTCTTTAAATAAATGATTAAAAATGCCACAAAAATATAATAAGTGCTTTAAAATTCTTAAATTCATATAAGTGTAAATCTTAGTGTTTTTGAAAATGCTACTGTATTTTGTTATCGAGCATTTTTGAATCGCTAGTGATTACAATAACAATTTATGAATAGTGAAAACTTAAATTATTCCAAGAGAATTGATTAATAAATTTCATACAGTAAATAAATCATTGGGCTGCAAAAGTATGCAGATATATGACAACCAATAACAGAAATAAAAATAAAATCTTTAAAAATTTTATAAAGTGGCGAAGCATGCAAGAGCTATTTATTTATCTTGTAAACAATACATTTTCAGTAGAATCAGTACTTTAAAAAATTGATATACTTTGGAAACATGCTCTGCAATGTAGTTGTTTTGTGATGAAACTGTTGATAGTGATGCTTTGATAATGCTTTTGTTGATTTGCTCCACACAGTAAAACTGTAGAATTTATGTATACATAGCTCTTGCTTTTATGTATGGATGCAAATTATACAGCTTTTAATTTTTCATGAAACTTGCATACATATTAAAGTCAAGCGACTTTTCAGAATATTACAACATTATAAATCTCACACCTTGAGATTACTAAGGCTTATACACAGATTTCAAAGGAAAGAGTTTGTAAAGTTGTATAAGGGCCTTATTATTATTGATATAGACACAAGTATATAGTTTTCATTAATTAACACATTGTTATTGATGAAGATCTCTTTAATGATTCTTACATAAAGCTATTTGGATTTTTTTCCAGAGGAAAAACAAAGTTTCATTTAACCTGCGAGCACACGCACCGATCCGACGAACACTAGAACACGCGCCGGGTATGTCATACCCGAATAAAACGTTTGTAATTAAAAATTTGCCGAATAAAATTAATCGATTTTTAAAAGAAATTAAAATGTAAAACCAAGTTAATACTTCATTTTAGACAAAATATGAAAGAATAAGGAGAGGTAAAATTATTTACTTACAATATTTTGAACATTGTTTACAAAATGAGGTCATATGTTCCATACATATACTCGTACTTTTGCTACAATTTTCACAAATGTATCTAGTCTTTCTATCTTTTTTCTTGGGGCACTCTGTACACCTCTTGTAATTTTAGGTTTTTTGGGGGGTGGTTCATTGTTAACATGTTCATCGGTGGTCAGTGTTTGTCTAGAATCAGGAACTACAGATGCTCGTCGTCGTTCATTTTGAACATTTTCTATTAACTGCATCCCTAAGGCTTTGAGAAAAGTACGCCTGGTATGGTATTCCGTTGGTAGTTCCTTCTTTGATAGTAGAATTATTCTTGCATTAATGGCAGCCACGTTTAACACTGAAAAGAAAATCACCATAGGCCATCGACGTGCTACTCTTGCTGTAGAATACGCAGCTGCCATCTCATCTACAACATCGACTGCTCCTTTTGTCATGTTATATAATGTAATGATTTCAGGCTTTTTAGATTCCCCAGTAGATTCATCGATTTGATCGCCGGAATGCATTGTGGATAACAGGATCACACTCTTATTTTTTTTCGGCACATAAGATACAAGTGTTGCTTCTTTCTGAAAACCGAAAATTGAAGAATATACTTCTCTTTTCTCTGCCAGAAACTCAGGTGGGATTTCTCTCTCATTTTTACGCATTGTACCTACTATCGTAATTTTCTTCTTTAGGAGATCTTGAGATAATTCAAATCCCATATACCAATTATCAACTGTTAAATTTCGACCAGAGTTGTATAAGGGCCTTATTAAACGTTTGACAACTTCGCTTGCACCAAATTCAACTTGAAATGGCCCATCTGGTTGTTTACCAGCATAAATTTCCATACTCCAGGTATAAAATACCCTTGCGTCTACAAGAGCAAATATTTTTATGCCATACTTTGCTGGCTTGTTGGGCATATTTTGTTTGAAGGAACAACGACCTCTGAATGATTCCAACTTCTCATCAATGATCACATACTCTCCTAAAGTATAAGCCTTTTGGCAATTTGTGACAAAATTTCCAAAAAATTCTCTGATCGAAGCTAATTTATCAACGTCTCTTCTACTGGGACGATCTCTAATGTCATCAAAACGGAGGCATCGTAAAAGAAAGAGGAATCGGTTCATTGACATTTATTCCCGAACTATGTCCATTCCCGTTCTGCCTGTTGCCCACAAATCTCTTACGTTCACATGGGATGATTTATAAACTCCACATAAATACAGCAATCCAATTAAAGCTTTGATTTCCAACTCATTTGTTGCTTTCGCATCCCGTTCATGAGTGAAATTTCCACGTACAATCAATATAAATATTTGTATTGTCGACTACATGTTTTAACATATCTTCATCGATAAGCAGTGACCAGGAATCTAAAGGGTGTTGAGACGTCTTTAGAATACTTCGTATTTCTAGGGAGTTTAGTTATAATATTTTTGGCTCCAATTCTAACATTAGTCCGGAATTTATTTTTGTTCCATTTTACTCCATTTTTTCCAACATAAAACTCATTGCTACATTGCAAAATTTCCTTTTCTGTTTCTGTATCTGAATCACTACTCTCTATGGATGAATCATGATGACTATTATATTCTTCGTCATCAACATCTTCATCGTCTTCACTAAATGAATCCTCATCAGAAGAAACTGTTTTAAGAATATTTCTCAATCTTTTCATCTCTTCATCGTAAGGAATATACGGCGTCATGCTTACAACTCAAGAAAAACCTATACTTGAAAAAAAAAAAAAGCTTGAAAACGAGAAGTGCGAAGTGACTCACTGAGAAACATGAGTACACGCGCGGGTATGAGATGCCCAAACAATGCTGTTCCTAAAAAACCGTTGCACCTGTCACCTTAGGAATTTCCCGCATTTAAGTATGTGGCCTTGAACTCAGCTACACCAAGTTTCGTCCTTTTATGAAAGAATAAGTGATAAATATACAAAAAGAAAAATGCCCATGGGTATGACATACCCATTGCGTGTGTGCTCGCGGGTTAAGAAAATAAACCATAGAATATTCTTAATTTTATTATAAACTTTCATTACATCACATGAATCTGTAAACACTGAACTAATCGTTTTCAATTTAAATCACAAATGTATTCTTCATATTGATTTATTGACAGTATGAATAATGACCAAAACTTAATATTATCTGTATATAATAAGAAATCATTGATACATAGGGTAAAAATAAGCATGAAGTTAGACTATATTAGCATGCTAATGGATCAACTAATGGCAAAAGACTTAAAAAACTTTACCTAATCATTTGTACAAGATTATTTAATGAACACAAAATGTATAGGAGTTACTCCAACCCTTTTTTGACCGCAGACACATTCTAACATATATTTTGAGATCTTGTACCCTTATGACTCAACATTCAAGCAGATTTCAGGCATGATAGACTTTTAAGTGCTTCTTTGTCATGAAATTATCTTATGATCATTTCATTCAACTACTACAAATCAAGGAAAGGAGAATTAATTACCAGTGTTTTATACTTTTAGCCACTTGATAACGTTACATAATATGGATTAACTCAAAGCAAATTCTACTGATTATAATCAGATAATTGCATATCTCTTCTGAGAATTTAGATTCTTCCGCATTCATTTCTTTGCAGATCTTGCTCTAAATGGATTTCAATACATATTTACCACTAATAATCGCAAATGATAATAAATAACAAATTAATTTTTATTCTAAACATGATTTGGGGTAGTTGCATAGGCGTTTTCGTGTTTTTCCTCATGTGTAATGTGTATATGAGCCAGTTTCCCTTAGAAAGTTCTCCAGGAAGCCATCCTTCCTTGTAGGCAGTTAGCTCTCGAGTGTTTTAATCAAATAAAAACATATTTTTAAACTACAATATCAAATTTTGTATTTTGTCCTTATTTATTTCACTAAATAATTAAAGTCCTCTTTAGTACATACACATATCAGGCGCTATTTTATCTTCATTTACAAAATAAAACAGTTGAAGCAGTTTTAGGACTTTTCTCTCATGGGGAAAAAATATCTGCATTTAATCCATTTGCTTTATGAAAACTGAAGTTTTCATACCAAACGAACTTCTTACAATATAACCTTCCTTACGAACTCTCTTATTTACCATATAAACCATTTCGGATCTTTGCTTTGGTAAATGGTCTAAGGCCTTTTACCAGTATATGGCTGTCATAATCCCTAAGGAAGCATATTAGAAAAACAAAACGGTCAGCTATACGCAGGGTTTAATTTCAAAAATTAGAAGTACCAGAGCCCGTATAGAAGACCTTCAGGAAAGAGGAACAAGAATAAATAAGAGAATAAGATGACTAATCAAATCATTAACAATTAAAAAATTAAATAATTCATTATTAAAAAAATTAATGGTTAAAGTAATTAAATAATTAAAATTTAATAGTATGCAAAGTGATAAATTAGAATTTAATAAGCAATTTTTAATATAATTTTATTATTAAAAATAAAGTTTCCAAGACCAGATTTCTACTGAAATTATTGTTCAGTTACATAAAAGAAGTGCTAAAGCCTTCTTATTTAGGGCTCCGGCTAAAATTATGAATTTTTCCTAAAACTAAGAAGTATCGGAGCCAGCCTCCGGTGGGCTCCGACGCAATTTAAGCCCTGGCTATACGGATATCTTGGTAAAGCAAGAGAAGAACCCATCTTTGGTCATGACCAAACATGGCGCATGATGTGTTTTGATTGTAAACCACATGAGAGGCGGAGTTTAAATACGTCAAAATGACGTCACCAAAGCCAACCAATCAAAATTTCCTGCCAAGTTGAAATTTAGTCTCACCCGTCTTGTATTGCAATAAAAAAGAAATTACACTATAACGCCAAGACTTTTAGCCTTATGCCATGATTATATGTTATAACGAAATATGGGGTTTAAAATATTAGAGGAAAGAAACTGAAACAGAAGATAAAATCAGATTGGGCTATTAATAATTACAGCATTTTTTCACAGGTGGAAAAATCCATATTTTTTAAAATTATTTTATCCGTAAAAACCAAATGCAACGAGAGCTGAATCTGGAATTAGCACGGTGAAATTGGTGAAAACTGGTTTGACATTAATGTCCAAGATGTGTGTCTGCTCTACAGTTTAATAACAATAATGGATGATGGCTACCAGGCGTTCGGGTATACCCAACGCTAGTGATAATTCTCTTATTTCTGACATTGGCAGAGAATTATTTGATGCTTGTCGTTATGGTGATGTTTCGAGAGTTAGAAAACTTGTAACACCTCAAAATGTCAATGCCAGAGATGCTGCTGGACGGAAATCAACTCCATTACACTTTGCAGCTGGTTAGTGGGTCTTTCTCGTCAAACTCTCCAAAAAAAAAAAAAAAAAAAAAAAAAACGGGGGGGGGGATAAAATAATTTACATCCTTTCTATCCGAAGCTGTAATTGACTTAAAATGTTTTATTATTAGATGAGTGTATTATGGTTTGAGAAAAGTTATGTATTTGTTTGTATGTCATAAAAGTATCATTGTCGTGCTAATAAATCTGACACTTTCATTTCTGTAGTGTCATAAAATTTTTTTTTTAAATATCTGAACGAAGACAAAAAAAAAAAATTGAGCTGTTATTCTTTGAATTCTGAAGTAGTAGTGATAATTTCAAAGTGAATAAGAAAACAGTTCATTTAAAGAGACCTTGTAATGAATCGCAATTATACTTTGTGGGCTCTAGTGTAGAATTGGGTGCCCCTTCGATTAGCGACAATTTTTTAAAAATTTTGGCGATGAAACCTCACTTCTGGTTACCATGACAGTTTTAACTTCGTTTTAGCTTCCTGATTTTATTTAAATGAAATTAGATTGATGTGTACATGCACAAATTTAAGACGGTGCACAATGCCTAGTTTGTGCAATCCTAGGATGTTTTTTTCAAGTGAAAACAGATCAATGTGTACATGGACACAGAGTTTGTGCAACTCTTTGACTTCTTATTTTGGTTTTGTGTATTTGGTATTCTTTTTTGACGTCGATCTTACTGTCAAAAAATAATCGCCAAAAAACAAGGGGCACCCAATTGTAAATGCTTTTGTCTTTTGAGAAAATGTTATTATTGGTTGTAAATAATAATATTACTATTAGTTAACTATGAGAAGATACACTGTGTTTACTGACTGTCTGTGGGAATAGATATCTTTGTGGTAAATTTCTAAAAGGCATTAGCTCATCTTCATATTATGCACTGGGCTATTGCCAAAGCCAGCATGTCTGCAGTATGCGACAGAATTTATTGGCAGCAAAATTTTTAAAACTTAGAAAAGTACAGAACAAACAAACAACAACAACAACAAAAAAAAAAAAAAAAAAAAAGACAAATTTTTAGAATTTATGGAAGTGTCGGATTGCAGACTTAGGACCTGCAGGGATTGCACCAGACGGCAAAATGTCTAGTAATGGCTCTTATTACACATAGAAAAAGCCATGAAAATTGCTTGGAACCAGACTATTCAGTAGAGGAAACAGAACCTTTGACCTGTGTTCTTTAATTTCTAATCCGTAAATGAAAGTGTTACTAGCTGAAATCCCAAAATTTTATTATATTTCAGCTATGTATTCTATGAAGTAAGAATTTTTTAAATATGCATTTGGATATCTTTTTCTAGTTATTGCTTAGCATTTTGTTGTTTGTTGGTTTTAAATTTATTACAGTCATACGGTACTTTTTAATTAAAGAGATACCAGCCAAAAGTGTTGGTCATATATAAAATTGCATGTGTATGTCTTACACACATACACGCAATTTTTTGGTCCCACAGACACAGCAGTTCTGACACCAACTGCTGTATTTTTAACTGGTTATATAATGATATTTTTAATTTGTTATTTATTATGTAATGAGATTCATTATTCCCGTATTTAAATACTGCTTTGTATGTGTAAACTCGAAAACAAAATTTAAATTTCCTGTTTTTACAACAGAATCATTCAATTAAAATGAAAGAAATTTCCAGTGCATTTTAATTAACTATCTCTGTACTGTCTTCCATAAATTCATCTAATACTTTTCCATTAAAGAGACACTAGTTGGCATGTGTGCATGTGTTATATGTGCACACACACATACACTGATGTCTCTTTAAAAGAGAAGTACCAGACATCCTTTCTCTTAGGCAGATAATCCTTGTGTGCTGTGCAATAATCCAAATAATCTCATCTAATCCATAATGAAATTCCAAATTTTACTTTTCTTATTTATCTGGTTTTTAATTATTCAGCAAATGGTGTATCATATGTTACATTTTAAATTCCATCTGAATCATGATTAATTAACTTTTGTATAATCATTGTTTCTGCATTATATAATGTGAGAATTTTCACAAGCACTAAATTTGTTGCCCATTTGCTGTCTCATAATTTCAAACAATTTGAATGTTCATATTGACCTTATCAAAATTTAGATTAATCTTGACATTGTTATGCTTGTAACTTCCAAAAATTCATTTAACTAGTCACCCTTACCTATTAAAAAGAGATTGACTTATACAAAACACAACAATTATAAGATGTGTTAATAAAAAATACTCTTTCAACTAAAAAAAAAAATTAATTTATTCTACCAAATATATGCAATTTCTCTAAATACAGAAATTAAAACAACTAATAAATACTAACATATGTAATTATAATTCTGTGCATTTTTATGACTTAAAAAGTCGCTAAAAATGCACTTAAAATGAGAAAAATGCCTTTAAAAATAAAAAAGAGGTCTCTCCTAAACTAAAAAAAAGACAGTTGACAAATAGATTAAAATCCAAAAATTACACATCCTGTTACTTGAATTTTACGGCTAATCTTTGGAATATGGTAACAGGTAGTTTGGCGACATTTTGGTAAGGCGATAAAGGTTACTAGCTAGGACTTTAGCAGTGTACATGGATAAAGTCAAGAGTGTGCGCAATGCTATTTTTGTGCAATTCTGGGATGTTTTTTTAGGTGAAAATAGGTCGACGTATACATGGATGATACCGTGTATATGCAATTCTTAAAAACGCGGCAAGCAGTGGGCGATTCTGCACTTTCTCCCAATTTCGCACCTAATCTTCGTCATGATTAAGCACTTTTGTTCCATAAAAGTTCGAGCATAAGCGTAATTCGGCTAGCAGATTGTTGGAAAAAAATATTGAGTTAAAAAAAAAAAAAAATGCCTTTACTTCGTGAAAACAAAATGGCGTCCAGAAAAAAACTAGCAGGTTGCTGTAGCAGGGTTGGTCGCCAAAAAATCTCTAAGTTACCATAATCTAAAGATTAACCAATTTTACTTTTTTTTTTTTTCAAATTTATTCAAATGTATTACAGTTGTACTGAATTATTTTATGTGCTTCTTGATGTATTTGAGAAATCTTCTGTTATTAGAATATAAATTTTTATATTGTGAGAATATATTTTATCTTGGCATCTATTACAGTTATTGAAGCTTAACCGGGGAAAAAAAACGAAACTATCACTTATCATTAATTCTTTAGTTAAGAGTCTGCTTCTGTGAAGGTGAGGAATATTTTCAGCATTGTTTGGAAGCAATAGTTATTTAGTCAAAATAGTACTGAATTAAGCAACACAAGAGTTTAATTTAAAAAAAAATATAATTATCTAATTTATCAGTGTAATGTATTGCATTGGCTAGTTCCATATTTTGGTTTTATAAGGATTTAATAGTTGGATTTAAGATTTTGAAACTGGATCTGATGTATGCAGCAAGATTTCCTTCAATTTTGTCTCTGGAGAAAACATTCTGTGTAATTTCAATCAAAGCTATTTACAGTTGACTTCAAAGTTTGAAAATTTTGACTATAATATAATACATGCATGCATTAGCCATGTGCCCCAACATGTTATTACAGGCTTTGGTGGCAAAGCCTGTAATAACATGTCGAGCTTGAGCTTGAGATTAAAAACACTGTGTATAATGTGCTTTTAAAAACATTTTCTTTGCATGTACCAGTTTGAGTTAAATTTTCTTTCTTTGATTTTCCTGCTTCAGCTGTGTGTGATGCAGCATCATTTAAAAAGAGCAGCAGAGCATTGCATTGTATGCTATTTGGCGATGTAATGATTAGCGATTTTTCAAACAGCTGGCAAACTGCAGAGTAGTTCACTTTTTCAAGTTTCTTGACAGTAAGTAAAATTGTCTTGCCAGTCAAATCTACATCCAGGTTACCTATTATCACATTTCATACTGCGACCATTGGCATAATTTATTTCATCAAATGAAACAAATATTTTTTTGCTGTAAAATGCCCCAAAAAGGCCTTTAAAAGCACAAAAAATACTCTGAAAACTTAAAAAATGGTTTAAAAGTAAAAAAAAAAAAAAAAAAAGCAAACCAAGAAAATACATATGTTATCAAAATCTGGTCCTTGGTAATCATCACTAAAATGTTCAGTTTAGAAAATATTCACTTTTTAAATAATGTTTTTCAGAAGCTATCTGAATGATTTTTGAGGCCGAGGTAGGGTTCAGATATGTCCTGCTTTTTATCATTTTTCACAATATCCAGCTAGGATTAAAATATTTTTATATTGCCCCACATTTTATATCTATATTGCATTTTGTCTTTAAAAAATTACATTAAATAAAAGAAATCTTAAAGTAGCAACCTTTTGTGTTGTTCAGTTATGCATTAATTTACCGATAGCTTTTGACTCTTTGCAAAACCATATAGCTGACTTTGCATTTCCAGCATTTGAAAGAATTATTAACTTATTTCTAGGAATAAATGCGTATATTATGTCTGAACCTACAAAATATGTCTTTTGATAATTGATCCTGTAACTGTACCTGTGGTTTCTTATTTTTAGCATGCATGCTTTTCTCTACAAAATTTCTGCCATGGAAAAAGAAAAGAATTCTGATCAATGATCTGTTAGAACAATTATCTGTTACAATTTATTAAAATTCAAAAATCTACTAGTTTCAGTATTGAACTCTATGAAGGACATAATAGAGGATAAATTTGTGTGTCATACAAATTAAAATTTTCTTTGAAAACACTTATAAAAATTGATTTGGAAAGAGAATGACAGTCAGACAATTGTTTTCAGAAAAGGTAGTAAATTTTATGAAGTGTGCTTTAATTACTTGAAAAATAGAGGACCTCTTTGAAAGAATTTGAGTGTTTGCAAAGGATTTAACTCTAAATATGTCAAGCTCCATGAAATTACTTTGTCTGGAACATCTTGAAAGCAAAAATGTGACTACAGATGGTTCCGAATGTTTTGTTAAGTTTTCCTGTATTCAAAGATAGATCACAACTATTGTTATTAATAAAAATTTAACTTTTCATGGGAATGATGTACATTTTTCAAAAGCAACAATGGCGATGAAATTTTCTACGAACTTCTTAAAATTTGTAAATTGTATTTGTGATACCAAGCAGTAATGCTGTGACTGAATCTCTGATCAGTGCACATTCGACAGAAGAAAGAAATAAACTAATATGTTCACATAATGGGATCATTCTATTGAAATATGATTTCAAACATATAATGCATAGAATATTTTACAAATACCTGTTGCTAGAGGATTACAAGTCTTATGTAAAAAGTGAATACAATGAGTAAGTATCATTCTTTTCCAGACCAAAAACTAATACACCCTCATCATTGTTATTACAATTGTAATGTAAGCTATTTTCAGAATTGTAAAATAAAAAATGGTTGTGTCTTTGTAGGAAAAGTCAAGCATTTTTTGAAAGAATGTTCTGCATTTGATAATTTGGACATATAAAATCCTAAACCAGTAGTGTGGATAATCAGAAAGTACCTTTGTTGTTGTAAGAAAGAATAAAAGTTGCTATCATAATGTTACTGAAGTTCATGGAAGATGATCACCGTATAAGTGTGAGAATTTTAAAAATTCATGTATTTCAAATTCAAAATATTCCTTAAAACATACATCAGTTATGAATTGGTGTACAATCAAAACTTTTAAAGCAGGATTGTGTTTACATGATTTCAAGATTTCAATTATAATTTATCTGATGAGGGTTTTTTTTTTTTTTTAAATTTTTTTTAATGGGGTATGTTGCATTTCAGTGGATTAAAAAAAAAAATTGATTTAGAATAGTTTTGTAAAGTGGAATCATGTTCTTTCCCTAAATATGATTTCTTTAAATTTTAAATACAATGAATTAGGAAGACTTAATTGTATCATTTCTGCAAGAAGTTTGCTGATCAGTTTGCACCTATAATCAAATTAAAGATGTATAATCATACAACATTCTAAAATGAATTATATTTTTGTTATAGATGCTATTTACAGCTACATATATACCATAATAAAGAATTTTTAAAACAAGTTAATTTTAATTTAAATTTTAGGATTTGGTCGTAGAGATGTTGTTGAACATTTGCTTCAGAATGGAGCTAATGTTCATGCAAGAGATGATGGTGGATTAATTCCATTACATAATGCTTGTTCCTTTGGCCATGCTGAAGTTGTTCAACTGTTGCTGAAGCATGGAGCTGATCCCAATGCCCGTGATAACTGGAATTACACACCTTTGCATGAAGCAGCTATCAAAGGGAAAACTGATGTTTGTATAGGTATATTTATTTTTCATTTCTTTTGTATACGAGTTTAATATAAGTGGCATATTTTGATTATTATTTTTCACAGTGCAATTTGCTATACACAATGAATAATTGTATATTTCTTTTATTATTCCTTTCATAAATTTGTGGTTTTTCTGATCTTTGTTGAACCATAGTAAATTTTAAGCAGGTTTTATTTTAATTGGTAAATTTATTAAATAATAGTTTCCTTACATGGGACATTAAAAACACTCTTTCAACATTAAACTTGTTTCATGAAGGACAATTATAAAAGTTCATGCAACTTGAATGATTTTTCAGTTAAAAATGTGGAATTTGCTCAGAAATGTTATTTTGTCATGCCTGACATATTAAAAAATGCAAAATTGTATATATGGGAGGGATTATATAAGAACATAGATAATGTGATATAAACTGGGGCAAGAAAAAATCAGATTGACAAAATTTTGGAGATATGTAAAAAAATTAATGAGGTGTGCAGTCACTCCTGACAAAAATGCAAGCTTTACAGCAATTTTCCATGCTATTAGCTTCAGGTTCCTCCAGTAACAAAGTATATTCATGCCAAATAGTGTCTTGAAGCTCTTGAAGAGGGCTAAGGTGATAGGAGTTGGCATCCTAATGTGTTCCACACAAATTCCATCAGATTTAAATCCAAAGAATAAGTGGGCCACTCCATTCCTTACTCTTAAGATAGTCGGTCATGAGTGCAGTATGATGGGGATAAGAATTATCATCACTTAATAGGAGTTAATACTGATTTCACCCTTAAACAACTTGACATATAACCAGTGCAGGATTTATGTATAAGCTACACAAGCTATAGCTTAGCCCCCCAAATTAAAATATAGTATAAATATATTATTAAAATATAATATAACAAAGTTATAAAGAGCCCCCATATCTCAAATAGCTTAGGGCAAGTCTAAATCCGGCCTTGCCTATAACAACACTAGGATCAAGAACATCATTTGTCTGTATTTCAATGTTCATAGTTTCACTGGTAAAAATGTGTCAGTGTGGACATTCAGAAGGATGCCTGCCCCTACCAGGATTCCAGTACTTTTGTATCAGTGACTTTCATGGATGCTTTCTGCCATATTATGTGTGTTCTCCAGATTTTAACACACATGGAATAATTCTCCAAAGGAAAACAAGACTCGCCAGTAAAGAGAACTTGGTTTCAATCCGTGATACTCCAAATCTTGATGATTTTATGTAAGTCTGTTGCAACATGTTTTCGACTTTGAACTAGTTGTTAGTTTATGTCACTTGTCTCTTTAAACCATTTTCAGATTCTTGACATGATGCTTTTTGCTACCTGTGTTAATACCTGTCCTGTTTCCATTCTCCCACATTCTATCAAATGCCTTCTCAACATGTTTCATATTTCACGCGCAAATATTTTATTTGACTACTCGTATAGCTGTTGAAATTAGAATTTTAAGCACCCTCTTGCATTCCTTTTCACATGTATGGAAAGAATATACAAAAAAAAAAAAAAAAAAAAAAAAAAAAAAAGTGGGGGGCCTATATTTATGTAATGAACTATAATCTTATTAGATAACGTAATAATGTTAATATTGAGCTGCCATCTTTCATTAGGATTTCATTTAATAGAGTTAATATAAAATGGTTGATTGCTTAATTTTTCTTGCCTGTGTATATAGTTTTGAAAACTATGTAGTATCTAACTACCCAATGTGTTTGTAGATACTTAAAAGTATTAAAATACATTTACATTAATATTTTGAAAATATAAATTTGGTATTTTGACCTAAGATTTTCAGAAATTACACATACACACACACATATATATATGTAAGGTATAATAAAATATGATGGCTATGCTAAGAAATAATTGGCAACCTCAAAATTGACTATTTTAAATTTGGTGTTCTTCCTCCTAAATTCTTCTGTTGCTTTCATGTCTAAGATGCTTACATCATACTTTTAAAGCAAGTGTACATATAAATTATCATATTTAACCCTTTGAGGGGTGGTATATAAAATAATTTAAATTGTTGTAAAATTTTGCATGGACCCTAAGAACACAAAAATTGAGACTTAAAAAAAATCTAGAGTGAAATCCTGAATTTTGAGAGCCGGTATATATTTTATACCGGTGCCCCTCTAAGACATTTTTTTTCCTCGGTAGCTACCAATTGTTAATTTTTGTTTTTTAATTTAACTTTGCGTGCTTTTGATGTGCGTCTGTAGAGATGAGTGCTTGAATATGCAAATAGTTATGCAAATCTGAAGACAAAACTTTTAGAATTTAGCTAGAAATTTAAAATTTAAAAAATTAAATTAATGTTTTAACATATTTATGTAAAATATGGGTAAAAAAGGTGTTGAAATTGATTTAAATTCAATATAATTTTTTATGAAAAAATTTAGTAAATATAACACTGCATGTGTAAGCCTATCATGCTGTAACTGAGCTATTATAATGTTACAAGGAGGATGTAACTCAGCCCAAAATTGAAAAATTAAAATTCTATGACTCTGACATGTCAAAAATTATTAATCCTCTGACATGTCTCAGCTAAAAAATATACTTGCATTTTAAAAATTATTATATTTTATGCTTTAGATAATATATAAAGAAGAGCACCCTGCTTCCTGCTATGAATACCAAAAGAATCTCCCCACCCTGCGCATACACACATCTTTCCGACTATCGAGGCCCGTAAGAGGCCCCTTTTTAATTTTTTGTAAATATAGGTTGTAACATATCACTTTGTTCAGGGAGAAATGCTGTTAAACAATTTTATTATTTTATACACCTCAAAGCTCTTATTTTTATTTTTAGCCCCTTTGGCCTCCTAAGGGCCCCTTTTCAACTCTTGAATAAATAAGGTAGTAATATATAATTTAGCTGAGGAAGAAAATCTCTGCAATAGAAGTAAAGTATTAGTATACTTCGAAACACTCTTTTTTTTATTATCAGGCCCATGTGTCCAGTGGAACTGTCTTTCAACCTTTTTCACAAACACAGGTTATATTACTTTGTTAATATTACCATAGAAAATTTTAAAAAATTTGGTATACTTCTAAAATGAAGTGTATAATGAAACAAATAATAATAATATATTTGTAATAGAAAGAAGAAAATGTTAGACTTTTTCGTAATCTTTTTCCAAAGAAAATTTATATAACTAATAACATCAAAATATTTCTAAATATGTTATACAGATGCTTTCTGGAATATTATGGCCAAATGTTCATCAGAAAAAAATAGCATTCATTTTACAATTAATTTTCTAAGTTTATAAAATTTCATTATTGTAGCAAATTATAAAACCTAAAGCATAAAATATTATACATAAAACTCCAATGGTTTTTATGAATTACAATTAATATAAACATGTACATATTCATGAAATGCTATTGTGAATGAAACTTTTTGAAACATGTTTCACTATTTGTTTGCATGTATAAAGGAATAATACAAGTAGAACAAATCCATTTTGTTCTTTTTTGTTTCATTTCCGTGCTGCATAATGTGCATCGTCTTAGTGTGCATCACACTTGTGCCACTGCAAAAAGGGTTTGTGTACTTTTATGGCAACAGGTGATTTCACTGAAATTTTATGTTTAGGAATATTATCACTTTTGCCCAAGTTTATTAATCCTGTGACAATTTCTAGCCGAAAATCTTTCAGAGGTTTGTGTTCAGATTTTTCGTGGCATATTTTATGCAAAATATAAGAGTTTACTAGAGTTACATCTAAAAAATGGGAAAAAATTCTATGCCACCATTTTTTGCTTTTCCTGTCAATTTCCTATATACTTTTCAAATGATGAAAGTGGTCTACAAATCCCATGTTATTATTATAGTCCACAATAGCTTTTAGACAGGGAATGTTTTTCATAGTTCTGTCTTTTTCCTTTCTTTGTACTTGAAGAATTTCAGTCGGTTGATTTTGATTTGATAAGACATTCGCACATCTCTTATCTTCCTATTTTATGCATGTAATCTTGTTGCTGCTAACTGAGAAATCAAAATCTCCTCTTCCTAAGGCTTTTTCCTCTTTATGATTTTTAGGCGGGTTTTTCCTATTCATATTTACTGTTCCGCAACAATAAATATTTTGCGTTTTTAGAAACCTAAATAAATTATACGTTGTGAAAAAATTGTCCATAAAAAGGTTGTGATTTTTCCCATATAACGGAGTGCACAAATTTTTTACTACTCTTTCTGCTAAATTTTTTTTCTGCTACTTCACCTGTTTTGCCAGATTGGCAGACGAATCCGCTTTCATCGCATCGCATCCATACCTTGTAGCCACGTTTGATCGGTTTGTTTGGCATGTATTGCTTCAACGAACAACGACCTTTAAATTTGATCATAAACTCGTCTACAGCTTGATTTTGTTATGGTTGTAATGCAATTAGAAACTTTTCAGCCAAATTTGACAAAATTGGCCGCAATTTATATAGTTTATCAAATTCTGGGGACCCCTCTGAGGTTGAACAGTATTATCATTAAGGTGTAGATGGGATAAAATCCACGTAAATCGTTTCACGGACATTTGATCAGAAATGTATGCATCATATATTTCTGGTGTAGATGACCAATAGTCCCTGTAACTGGGGATCCTCTTTATTCCCATCAATAAATTTATTCCTAAGAATTTTAACAGTTCGTTTAAATTTAAAACTGTTAAAAAGGTTTGTCCTTTTGTGTTGCATATAAATTCGTCTGGAAAACTACATTTTCCACCAGCGCCATGTCAAATAAAAAACAGAAATAGCGCAATAGGGGATTGGTCTTCCATGGATAAAACCTCAACTATGGCCTTTGTCTTTCCGAAAATTCCGGATTTACTATCATTTACTTCATTTCTTCTTTCTCACGTTATTTCTAAGCCCGAGAATGTCTATCACTTGCTTCATCAGCATGACTTTGATTCTCATCTGAGTCTGATTCATATGAGACATTCACTTTTTTTATTTTGTGCTGAATATTCTTCATCAGAATTATCAGAAGCAGCAATATCTGAGCCATCAGAAGAAAGCTCTTTGAACAGAGTAAGTGCTTCCTCCACAGTGAGTCCTCTTTTAGGCATTTTCTATAAAACATCACTGTTCTGAATTATTCAAAAATTTAACCATTTTTTCCTTCCAAAGGTAAATGTTTGCATCTAAAACTGGCCTTAGAAATATTTTCCCTCCTTTCACCAACTGTGAAAATTTATTTCGAAAAACCGACCTATTTGTATTCCTAACCCAGGGGTAAAATTTCCTTGTGTTCCCTAGTCTTTTATCTGAAAGTAACAAAGAAGATACCCTAATGAATAAAAGCATGCTTTCAAATCAGCATTTTTTCCATTACACTAAGAGATGGAGCTAAAGTTCATTTCTAGTTTCCCGTATTTTTAAGTGAACTTTCCCTTTGTGTGATGCTATCACAGTTCCTTTGTGAAGATGGTGTGACACCTGCGCGTCAATCACTTCTTTTCATTTTAGATGCATTGTAGGATTTTGGAAAACACGAAACAACGGGGGTCTTTAGGGGCTAACTTGCCACACTCAACCTCCTACAGTTGTTTAACGTTTTGATGCCAGACGAGAATTATTGAAATCGATGAGTCTTTCTCGTGGGAAAGGGCAAAGTTCTGAAATTAAAATTTTAGCCAAACAGATGAATGAAAAACTTGAGTGGAGTAGACAAAGAATAAACACAAAATAATATACTTGTATTCAGTCCTAGCACAGGATTATTAAACACTCCATCCACCTCGAACATAACATTGAATACTAAACGACTTGTAAATTAATCATAAACAAGTTACTACGTTATATGCTATTATAATATAAAGAAATCCATTCATCTCACAGAGTAGAGAAAGAGAAGCCTGGTGCTGCCATCTATGGCAAGGTACCCTCAGTAGGGGCGCCAGTAAAGCGTATAAATAATATTCTTTTAAATTATTAGTTTTGATCGAAATGCATTAAATATATAAGGTTCAGCATGTGTGCGTCATATATTTGAAGATTTTGAATTTTTTTCTTCCCCTCCAATGGAATTTATGAATATTGAAACATGACACCTTTGAAAGAGGTTTATTAATTTCATAACTATCATATTGAGCATTCATAGGACAGTGAATCAAAAGGAAACACTTGAAACACAAGATTACAGTGTAGAAAAATTAGCATTTTTTTTTGGAGGTTAAAAAATTGACAAATAACTGATATTATATGCTGGTGCCCTTCAAAGGGTTAACTATGATTGGATAAATGACTACCAAAATAATTTGATATGTGGTAAAATAAAGATTGGTAATCCGTCAAAATCCAGATTTTGTTAGTTTCGTCTTTTTTATAAGCTAAACTTACAGATGCAGCATAAGGACCGAATGAAGGTTTAATTATTCCAGCATTTTTAACAATTCATCTATTTGTTTTCTTAATTTTACTATTATCTTTAGGAGACGCTCTGTATGGTCTAGAGGCTATGGGTAATTCTGAAGTTTCAACTACTTGTGGAGGTTCAATATTGCTACGACCTTCGTCATATTTATTTTTAGCAAATATATGATTATAGTTACTTATGATTATAGCAATTGTTGCAAATGATCATCACCAGTTTCACTATTTTCAGCATAATTATCAAAGTTCTTAGTACTTGCACTATTTTTACATACAAAATTATTTTGAAAAAGTTTATCTAATTGAATATCTTTACTTATTATATGTTTAAACTGATATACTTTATAATTATTAAACTTCATTTGCAATTTAAATAAAGAAACACAAGATGATGATAATAATAAGTATGTCAGGTTAGAATTCACAACATAAAATATTATATCATTAGTAAGGCTACTTATTTACATGATAATTTAATTACTTTAGTCACAGGAAGACCTCCAAATAGAGATAATAATTTTGTGTTAGGATTATTCTCAATAATTTCAATTTGTGCATTAATACAGTTTAAAGTAATTTCGGAAATTACATTGACCTGTGACCCTGCATCAATTATGGCAGAAAGATTTAGTTTACAACACTGAACATTTACCTTAAAATATTTTCACTTTTTTGGTTCATTTTTTTTTTAGAATTTGCATTATAATAGTTTAAAGAAGTATATGACTGATAAGGATAGGACACTTGTTGTGGCTGGAAATTTCTCCAGGCCTGATTTTCAGGAACATTCTGCCTATTATAGAAAGGCCATGGAGTACGATATCTAGGCTGGTAAAAATTGTGCTGTAAATTTAACCTGAGAGTTGAAAATGTTGGTGTATTATTTACTTCTTCCAGTGAACTTAAAGCAGAAGACCATAAAGGAAAAAGTTTTCTTGCTACTGCAATCCAATCTTGCAAGGAAGTGATATTTTGTACCGTTAACATTTTCTGTTGCTCTGGTAGTCCTAAATTTGAGATCTTTCCACATTACATAACAACCTAAAATTAACCAATAGTAGTTTAGCTATACAGTCAAAAGTCGTTAATCCGGACTCGTCGGGACTTCAGCGATTCCGGATTATCAATTTTTCCAGACTATAGATCATCAGTTTAAATCTGGTAAGATGGCTTGCAGAAATTATAAAATTAAAAATACGAAACCATAATTTATGAAATAAAGAACAATTATGATCTAAAGGGTATCAAAATTTACAAAAAAAAAGCTTAATATTTATTGGTTTACTTTATTAAACATTTCTTTCAATGTAAGTTGTTTAAGTTGCTTCGTTTTATGTGATAATACTTTCTCTTTAATTCTATAAACAGATATAATTTCTTGTTCAGTTACAAAGTTCCGCTGTTCAAGTCTATAATTGCTGTGTCAAGAATACCGACTAATTTGTCAATCGAAATTTTTTCATTTTCAATAACCTCTGTGTCACTTTCTTCACTATCGGAAGCAAATTATAATGACGAGGAATTTGATTTAAATCATATCAAAGACAGAGTACATCAAGATGAAAATACTACATTTAGTAAGGAATTATAAGCCAAATAAAATAAAAACATCTGCCCCTCACTTCCAGTTCATTGCGTGCCGCGGTTAAGCAGCGTGAAATAAACAGATTTGGTGGAAGATTGAATTTCATCATCCATTTTTTGCAGCAATTCCACATCGAAACACTTTGCTTTGTAGAATTCTCTATTTGACATGATCAAAAGTTCAAGCTTACTTTTATAAAATTGCTCTAACAGTCTGCAAAAATAATAAGCCGGATCCAATTCGAAGATTAAAGGAACAACGCAATCTGAAATAACGCGATCTGAAATAGAGAATTAGATAATTTTAGCTTATACCGTCCGTTATACATTAAACGTGCATGCGTAAACGTATTATGCGCTTGCGCACATGCATATGCGCAGCCGTAAAGGTCTTACGCGCATGTGTAAACACCTGTGACGCATGCGCAGAAAGTTTGTAGCTTTGAGGTCCGGATTATAGATCATTCCGGGTTATGGGTGTCCGAATTAATGACTTTTTGTACTAATGCACCTGTCTAAGATACTTACATCGTACTTTTAAAAGCTAGTGTATATAAAAATTATCGTATTTAACTATGATTGGATAAATGTCTACAAAAATAATTTGATATGTGTGAAAATAAAGATTGGGGATTCATCAAAATCCAATTTTTGTTAGTTTTGTCTGTTAGTTAGCCTTCACCCTCAGCCATGACAATTATTAAAAGTTAAAGCACTGGTGTCTTCTACACAATTAAAATATCACATATATGATGTGGGTGGAGAGTTGAAGACGATATCCTTAAGTAACACTTCCACACCACAAAACATTTAATGAATGAATTATAATAGAAAAGCTACAGATTTAAATTGAATAACAGTACAGTTGCGCATTTTCCTGCTTTGTTAGATACAAATACAGTTCTGCATGACTTTAAGTATTTAAATAGCTACTCGGTGCCTACTCGTGCTTGCTATTTTAACAGAGTTCTTTTGTTACCACCTTAGTGTGGAATCAACATCTATCTCCTCGTCTTTCGCCTTGCTCTCACTGCAGGCGCATATGTAATGCCCTCTGGTGGCTGTGTAGAACTAACTGATACCACAGATATATACAAACACATACATATAATAAAGAGATAATAATTAAGAAAGGGTGGCTAACTAGCTAATAACACAAAGCAAAATTGAAACAAAAAACATCTCAATGAAATTTAGTTTTTTGCAAACATTGATTGATTAGTTGATACTCATGGGAATATTCCTTTAGTGTTAATTGCTGCATAATTTAAAGAGAAGAAGAATATGCACCTCTTACTAGTGTCTAGAGATTAGCAAGTTGGTAAGATCTGGGTCATTACTTAGAAATATTAGTAAGAAAAACCAATGAACAGAGGTTTGCATAACCTTTTCAGTCTAATATTGCTATGTTTTACTTTTTATACATTCAGTGGAAAGTTTTTTTAAAATAAAATATAACTTTTAAAAATTTATTTTTTCAGTTATATAAAAATATACAATTTTTCAGTTATATAAAAATAAACAATTGATCTTCATTATCATTTTAAAAAAAATGATAATGAAGATCAATTGTTTATAATTCAATTGTCTTAAATCATGTATTCCTCAGTTTTTAATAAATTCTTTCTATTCTTTTTTCAGTCTTACTTCAGCATGGTGCTGATCCAGCTATACGTAATACAGATGGGAAAACAGCTCTTGATCTAGCTGATCCATCAGCTAGAGCTGTTCTTACAGGAGAGTATAGAAAAGATGAGCTTCTAGAAGCTGCACGTAGTGGAAATGAAGAAAAAATGATGGCATTACTAACACCTCTAAATGTTAATTGCCATGCAAGTGATGGAAGGAAGGTAATATATATATATATATATGAATTGAATTATTTTATATCAAAGTGGTATATAGTGATCTCTCTCTCTCCATGTATATGTATATATTATAACTCTAAAATTTTAAATTTATAGTCCCATTTCAAAAATCAAACTTAACCTCTTTTGTTTTAGTTAGTTGTAACTTCTAACTTGGATTTCAGCTTTATTTTTAATTTTAAACATATCTGTTACTTGACTGTGTTAAATGTTAAACCATCAGATGTATATGACAATATATTTCAGGCCATATCTAGAATATGGTTTTTAACCCTTTCAGGACGGGTGTCCCATATATGCATTCCCTAAGAATGTCTCTTACAGCTGGGCGTCCCATCCACGTATCAGTAAAGATCACATTCAAAGGACGGGTGGTGCGTATACGCATTTTAAGGTGGAACGTTTTTCTGAAGACCACTAGATGGCATCCTGTGTCCATTCCTTTTGAAATGAACACAGTTTTAGGTTCCTGATCTTGAGTTTGATATATTCTTATTCTGCTTGACTTTGGTATTTTACTCATCAGCTGTTCGATGGTGGTGGTGGGGGGGAGGGAAAGTGTAAACAGAGAGTGGGCTCTTTAAATCCCTGCGTGCCAATGAAAACATTCTCACATCTGGTTTATATCCAATTCCTTTTTTTATTCTATTTTTTCTTCTACTAAGTAGGGTCTTTTAGAGTTACTGTGTGGAGTTTTTTTATGTTTTGCATTGCCTTGGGCTATATTTCTATTTCCGTTCCTTCTTTTTTTATTTAGGAAAGCCTCACCTCCAGTCTATTACGGTGGGAAGGCTCTCTTTATCAGATGAAGAATACCCTAGTATGGTTAGTGAACCATTTACTAACGCAAATGAGAATACTCATTCATTTTCTAAAGAGTTAAAAAGTTATACTTTTTCTAAGAGTTACAAAGTGATACTTCTCTGTGCTTTGAGATGTACCATACTCGTTTTCATTTTAAATTTTGTTACTTCTTACTGTAAATAGTCTTTATTGTGTTCTTTTTATTAATTTTAAACTTTATTGATGGATTTTATCCATTAAAACTTTGGAATAATTTGAATAGCGCTTCTGAAAATTATTTTAGAACATAAGCAATTTTTTAAGTATATTTTCATGTAAAATAAAGAAAAAATGTTTTAAGGGCTAATTTTAACATATATAAGAGCTCAAGTAATAATCTAAAATGATACCAAAAATTACGATGCTAGAAGCAAAATTTTTATTTTTCTGATTTTTGTTATAAAATTAGGCTTAGCGATGCAAAACCTCCATCCTTTACGGTGACTGCCTTCGATTCTCTTCCGTCCCGCACGAGCATCTTAAACAAAGGTGCGCCATCGCGAAAAGGTTAAAAGTTGAACTTTGTACTTTGATCATAGGTGTTTGATGGTTATTAATATTGATATTGAACAATATAAATATATATATATATATTCAATAAATTTAATATTGAACTACCCAAAACATTTCTATAAATAGTTGAAAACGAGAGAGTGGATTTACTAATCAGAATCAAATCACTGAATATGTAACACTATTTAAGTGCATTTTAAAGTGGTCTTCTTAAGTAACTCTATGAGAGTTCATAGGGTAGTCAAAAGTTTTGAGGTATTCAAAGTTTATGAGATTGAAATACTTAATAACACCATATCCTTTCAGTTTACACTTTTAATACAATACGTAAGTACACTGCTAAAAAAAAAAAAAAAAAAAAAAAAAAAATGGGACAGTCCTATATCTCCCGATCTACTGGGCCGATTGACAAAATTTAAATTGCGTTCTTCATGTCTCGAAAGCGCGACTTAGGATATATATTAGATTTATATATAGCGCTATTCTAACAGTATTTTGACACAAAATCGTACTTTTTCTGAAATAACATACCAATTTTTTTACATATTTCGATTCTACGACTCAAATTACGCCTAAATATGAAATTTTGTAAAATTTGGAGCGAAATTTACGGAGAAATTCACAAATTTATGTTGGCACTTTTTTGTCAGTTTGCGCCAAGAATAGTTCACTTGGCGAACTTCTTAATATATGGCAACCTAGTTTCCTTTCCCGTGAGAGGAAAAAAAGTCACCATCGTTCCTTTTTTCCAAATAATATTCTTTATATTGTATTTTTAATTATAACTTATTATTTTAAGTAATTTTTTCTTTTTCGAATTTCATTTTAATTGTTTGTTGCATTGTTTTTTTCGAATAACTGTTTTAAAAATTTCTATTTACCTATTCGAACTGCGTAAATAAAGGTGCAGCGTTTATTTCAAATAGTTGTCTTTATATATATTTTTTGTCATAGTTATTATTTTAGGTAATTTTTAAATTCTTATACTTTTATTTTAATTGTTTGTGTTGCATTGTCTTTTCAGATAATTGTTTTAAAATTTTCTATTTATTCCTTCGAACTGAGCATTTTAAATATATTTATTAATATAAATTTTCCAGAATTTGATTTTATTTATTTGAATTGCGTTTCTTTCGGAGGAATACTTTGTAACCCAGAATACGATGCATTTGAAAACTGCATATATTAAAAGAGCAAATACAGTACAGCACAGTAAACACACCTTTCAGTGTTCCGTTCAGAAAAGATATATATAAATAAGAGAGATGTAAAACCGACATTTTAACTTAGGATGACTTGCATACATGCTTTTAAACATTTTTATCATTGTGCCCATTGCTTTACACAAATTTATCCTACATTTGGTTTCTTAAATGTTATTCATATTTTAGTCAAATATTTTATTATTGAAATCATAAGAATCAAATATCATAAGAGTAAAAAATTTTTAATTAAAAAAAAAAATACAAATTTTACCCCAAAATTTATTTTTTCTTCTCTTTTTCTTCAGGCATTCTACTTTATTCTTGCTCTTTTTCTTTAGGCATTCCGCAAGTATATTAAAAAGCATCCAACTTTTCGAAATAATCTTGATATTTCTGACAATCATTTTAAATAAAGTTATCGCTTTCCATTTCATAAAGGCCCACAAACGGCCAAGCGGTAAAGTCGCTGAACACTGGTAGTTCACTCCGGGGTTCGAATCCCGGTAAATGGGCTGGTTACATGGGCGTTTTCGTGGATTTTCTCATGTGTACCGTGTATGCCAGCTGGTTTCCCTTAGAAAGTTCTTCACAAAGGCATCCTTCCTTTTAGGCATATAGCCCTGCTTTGACATAACTTAATAATCCAATTCAATCCATTTCATCAATATTTGGTCAGAGCCTTTATCAGTCTTTAGAGGCTAAACATTTTGAAGGTATGAGATGAAAGGAAAGACTGGTTTCATCAAGAGGTTTTAGTTTATTTAATTATGACAAAGCACACTAGTGCTATCTGCCTAAGGGGAGGGATGCCTTCGTGGAGGACTTTCTAAGGAAAACTGGCTCGCATACACGTTACACATGGGGAAAACCACGAAAACGCCCATGCAGCCAGCCCGTTCGTGGGATTTGAACCTCGGACTGAACTTTCGGACTGTTCAGCGACTTTACCTCTCGGCTGCTGTTTCATCAGGAGGGGAAAAAAACGCCTTTAGGTTACATCCACATACAATACTGGATAAACTCCTGAATCTTCAAATAATTCGACTGAGAAAATCATGGGATTCTCCATTTATGGTATGATATGATGTTCTATAACGTAATTTAAATTTATACAACCATATAGTCTAAAACCAATCGCTCTTCACTTTAATCTGCAATGATATCGTTTTTGTCTTTTCTGATCACACGCTCAATTGATGGTATTTGCTGGTGTACACGTTTAAGTCTTTTCTCTTTGAACGCCTAAATTCTTTGAAGTAACCTGAAAGTATATTCAAAAGTGTCCACCTTTTTGAAACATCTTGGTATGTCTGAGAGCCAAATTTTCTCTCCAAATTTTTGTTTACTTTTCTCCCTAATTTTCTTCTTTCCTTCTACGGTTATTTTAAGTGCTCACACAAGAAAATTAAGATTTTTTCGATTGCTAGATTTCCATAAATTTTGCATTCTTGTCAATTTTTTAAAATATAAATTGCATCAACTGTGTTTCAGCTGAAGACAGCTTTTCATTTTCTAGACATTTTAACTATAAACAAAGTATAAAGCAAAGTCCAAAGGAAAAATATTTTAATTAAGAGATTTTTTGCTAAATGACAAAGAAATAAAACTGTCCAGCAGTGTTTATTCTTCACCACCGAGTAACCCGATTCTTATATCGGCTGAAACAATCTAAATCATATTAAAGATCATGTTTTTTTATACGATCTATAATGCACGAGAAAAATTAGCTTCTTAAAATGTTCTTTCTAAGAAGATTAATATAAAAGATTATATTTATATATATATTTTTTAAAGCTGGGACTTGAACCAAACTGTCAAACTTTTAAAGTTTAATTTACATGGTGGTTATAATTAAAGTTCCAATTTGAAATGGTCATAAAAGAAGAACTACCGGACCAAATGTTATCAAACTTGGGAATTGTGTAAAATAGGTTATGAGAATTTATTTTCCGTGGAAAAAAAAAAAAAAAAGAGTTCAAAAACTCACCACCAGGGAAAAATCGGCTCTGTATACAATATTGTTAAATGAAATAAGACACGAAGACATCTGTTTAAAATGTGTTTAATATTTTCCGAAACGTGTTACAAAGCATGTTCAATGTAGCGTCCAGCATTTTTCGAAAGTAAGTTAAATCCTGTTACTGCATTCTCAACAGCAGCTCTTAGCATATCAGGAGGAATGTTACGGACATGTCAGCGTAACACATTTTTCATTTCTGCCAAATTGTTTAGATTATCACCATAAACAGTGCTTTTGAGATAACCCCATAGCCAAAAGTCACAGAGGTTGAGATCTGGTGGGAAGAGGGGAAGTTTGTCGGCCTATAAGACTGTTCATTCGTGAAATGTTGCCTAAGTAACTGTGCGACACACATGAGGTGGGGCCCAGCCCTGCATAAAAATCGTAGTATCTAAAATGCC